AAAGCGTTTAAGAGGAAATTTGCTTGCAATGGTTCTGTCATTGAGCGTCTAGAATATGGAGAAGTAATTCAGCTTCTGGGTGACCAGTGCAACATATGCCCGTTCCTCAGAGAGACTGGACTGGGTAACGACCAGATGAAGAAGGTTCATGGGTTTTAAGTGCTTTTGGTTCACTGAAACTTAAGTGAGGATTTCCTTGCAGTGAGTAGAATTTCCCTTCTATCCCTTGTCACAAGATTAAAAGCCTTACCTTGTTTAAAGTAACCATTTGGGGTCTGTTTTTAACTTGGACTAACTCTTTCATGCAATAAACTGAAAAGAGCCATGCTGTCTAGTCTTTTAAGTAGAGGCTGAGCAGTAGATGCCTGGCATTGACCCTCCTGAAACAAAGCAATAACGTGATGGTGTTTCAGCCAAGCCCAGAGTCCCAATATCACAGACAGCCATGTCTGGCCAGAAGCTTCTCTTCTCTTACTCTGCCGAGTTCCCTGCCCTAAGAGAAGTCACCACCCACCTGAACAGCAAAGGCAGCTGTACCACTGGAGGGAGTCTTCAGTGGTCCAAGATCCCTTGTTACCTCCACCCTGACCAGGTAGGCGGAGCTTAGAGCAGCCTGCTTCCTGTAGTGAGGTGGTAGGACAGCTGGCTTACCACCAAGGTCTTTTTGCCCCCAAATGTCTTAACTAATTGATGTCCAAAGACCACAGTGTGAGGCCAGCAGTTTATCAGTTAAACATTTGACAAGGGAACAAATTTCAAACTGATATGTCAGTCATGTAGCCAGCTTACATAGCAAGGTGTACAGCTTACTATCAGTAGCTGCCCAGGGCCATGTAAGGTAACAGACTGTTTTTGGTTTGTTTTCTTTTCCCTTCAGCTTTAATGTTAGGTAATATATTTAAACTCTTAAATAAAACTTGTTTTCAAAAGCAAACAAAAATCTGTTCCTCATGTTTCAGCCCATTCTGATTTAAGTAATTTTGTTAGCATGTCTGTGGTGATTCTGTTTTGTTTCTTCACTCTCTCCTCAACACCAAGGCCCAGAAAGGTGAACTAACCCTTTCCTGCCCGTCTTTTCCAGGTGGCACTTCTCTTCTGGATGCCCAGTCTGGGTCAGCTTCCATGCTCTACTCTATATATTTTTATTTTTGTCTTTATATATGTATATATAAGCAGCTATGTCTTAATAGGCATATAGGTAAATATAAATAGGTATAAATATTATACATAGCTTTTCCTGGCACCTGGCACATAATAGGCACTATAAATATTTGATGGCTGCATTAATGACTGAGTTCTTATAACAGGACACCCTTTTTTTTTTAAGATTGTTTTTTTTTGGGGGGGGGAGAATTGGGGAAGGGGAACAGCCAAGTTGTTACCCTTCAATCTTAGTTGTGGAGGGCACAGCTAGCTCAGCTCCAAGTCCGGTCGCCATCTGGCTGCCCATCATCAGCTCGCGGCTGCTCGGCTCAAGGTGCCGTGTTCAATCTTAGTTGCAAGTGGGTGTAGCCCATCATCCCATGCGGGAGTCAAACCGGCAACCTTGTTAAGAGCGCACGCTCTAACCACTGAGCCATCCGTCCCCTCGTCGGCAGCTCAGGGCCACTCAGCTCAAGGTGCTGTGTTCAATCTTAGCTGTGGGTGGGCATAGCCCACCATCCCATGCGGGAGTCAAACCAACAACCTTGTTGTTAGGAGCACGTGCTCTCACCAGCTGAGACATCCTGCCACCTGTTGGCAGCTCAGCTCGGGCGCAGCTCACTGGCCCATGTGGGAATCGAACCAGCAACCCTGTTGCTCAGAGCTCGCGCTCTTAACCAACTGAGCCACTTGGCCTGCCCCCACACTTTTTCAAATAGTGTTTATATTTATAATTGTATTTTTTTGGTTAATAAGCTTCCTTGAAGAAGGGACCTGCGGGTCACTTCTGTCACTATTCCCTGGCTGCAAGTCAGTGTCTGCGTGATGAACAAGCTCCCAATGCTGTCGACTGATGAGTGCCCCACTCAGAATCACATTGCGGTAAAGTGGTGGGCGGGGATGGTGGGGGCTCCTGCTGCAGTGTGTGGTGCCTTCCTGCAGTGGTGAGAGACTTTGAGGTCTGTATGGTGCTGGTCAGGTGGGAGACAGCTGCCCTCCTCAGCTTTATCCTCCCAAACCTGTGTCCTCCCCATGGGGCCTGTGTGTGCTTGCTCCTGCCTCAGACTGACCATGTGGGACAGGGCTGGGCTGGACTGGTCTCATGAACTTTTCAGCACTTCAGGGACATTTGGTGTCCAGGGTGTGAGTGAGGCTCAGGGATTACAGTCTGAGCAGACACGTGAGCCCCCATGCCTGGCAGGCAGCCTGGGCAGCCCTGCAGGCGCCGCGGCATTCCCTGCTCTCACTGTGTCCCCACAGGTCCCAGCCTCAGCTCTAGAAATGGACGGAGATGCTGTCCTCCAGGACCTTGTGGGGATCAGAGAGCAGGCCAGCAAAGCAGACCTGGCACAGACGTCAGTAGCTGGTGGTAGTTATGAGTGATGACCTTTGTTATCTCTGCATCCCAGAACCCACCCTTGGCTGGGAAAAGGGTAGAGTAGGGGCTCGGAGAACTAACCCATAAAGAGTCTGGGTCTCAGGCTGTGTCACCGCAGGCAAGTCCCCTAGAGCTGGCGGAATCCTGGCTATGAAATGTGCCTGGTGAAAAGGGCCTGGTCGCAGGGAAGGCAGTGGATCACTGTCCCCATTCTGGCCAACCCAGCCACTGCCCAGGCTGAGTGAGTTCTTGCTGGCAACTTGGGTTAGGAGTTAGAGTTTGAGGTAAAGCCATGGTGATGCGGAGCCCCTGAGGTTTCCAGTGGGTGATTCACCCCTGTTCTCAGCTGACAGAGACTCATTGAGTTTCTTCTTAAGTAATAAAGGAGTAAATCCAGAGGCAAATGGATGCAGGTAGGTGCTGCAGGATGGCAGGGGTATGTTCACTTATATTATCTCATTTGATTCTGGGTTTAATAGGAAAATGCCTCACCTAGGTATTGCTGTTCTTTACAAGAGTGAATAGTTCTCTCTCTCTTTTTTTTTGTTTTTATTTTTTTGTGTTTTTTTTTGTTTGTTTTAAAGATTTTATTGGGGAATTAGGGAAGGGAAACAGTGTTGGGGAATTGGGGAAGGGGAATAGCCAAGTTGTTGTCCTTCAGACTTAGTTGTGGAGGGTGCAGCTAGCTCAGCTCCAAGTACAGTCGCTCTCCGGCCGCCTGTCCGCAGCTCAGGGCAGCTCAGCTCAAGGTGCCATGTTCAGTCTTAGTTGTGAGTGGGCATAGCCCACCATCCCATGTGGGAATCGAACCTGCGACCCTGTTGCTCAGAGCTCGCGCTCTTAACCAACTGAGCCACTTGGCCGGCCCCAAGTGAATAGTTCTCTTGATGACCACTGATGTGTAAGCTGTTTGGTAGTACTCAGAAACATCACAGTAAGGTGGTTTTCCCTGCTGGTGCATAGTCTTCAATAATTATAAGGAGTTACTTGTAGGAGCCTGCTGTCAAACCAGTGAGACTGCGTTTATTGCATCCATCATTTTCAGGACTGTTGGTAACCTAGGCACATTTCCCCAAATAACCTTGCTTCCTTGTGTCATGAGGCCCCACTCACTCACATTCACCTCAGTGAGCATCTCTTTGGTAATAATGCCCAGAGCTGTACACCCCGGTACTGACAGGCAGAAGGTGGCTCTCAGTTACCATGTGTTACATGGGCCTGCTGGAAACGGAAGCCCATCGGCCTGATGAATCTTTCATATTTAGGGGGTTTTCAAGTAAAGACAACTCCAGCAACGCAGACTTCAGTTACCATCCTCATCGTCTTTCTCTTTCCTGTTCTAATAACTTCTCATATCTCTGTTTCTTCCCTGGGCACGCACTTTGGCAGAGGGACTTTGCATTTTCCCCACTTTCTCTTTTCATTTTTGTTTAGTTGTATTGGAAAGAAGCTTGGATCTGTCCCTCTTCTGCCCAATAGATAGATATGCAGGTACTGCTCCTTGTGGAGTCTTTTCAACATTCTTTTGTTTGGTGTTTCTCTTTTCATGCATCCTGATAGTCTTTTTCATGTGTGTTTTCTCAGCATGGTGCTGTTTGTGGTAAAGCTTAGCTTTGAGACCAGTCATCATTTTTGCCATCTTTGAGCATTCATGAGCCTCTTGACTTTCCACCTTCTTTCTTTCTCTTTGTCTTATGGTAATCCAAACGATATCCACAGCACTTACAGTGTGACTCAATACTGTATTCATTTTGTGGCATGGTTACTGCCACCGAGTCCCTGGTCGCAATCCCCTGGGCGTAAAGAAACTCTCAACTTTTGGGTCTCAGAAACTCGTGAGCCGACTCCACACGACTTGCAACAGGAAAGGCTGGCTCCACAGTCCTATTTTTAAAGGTGAAAAAAATTGAAAGTGGGGCCAGCCGAGTGGCGCATTGGTTAAGAGCTGGCTTGGGATGCCAGAGTGCCCCGGTTCAGATCCCACATATGAGGGCCAGGGACACTGCCCTCCACAGCTAAGATGATGAAAAACAGCTCAACCTGGAGCTGGGTTGCTATGAGTCGCCATCGAAGGCGAAGGCTGCAACCCCTGCTGCAGTGGGTTGCCATGGGCTAGCGTGTGTAGCCAGCAGCCGCAGTGAGCAGCTGTCCAGAAACTGGCGACTGATCTGCCTCACTCGGGAAGAGTGCAATGATGGTGCCAACTTGGGCCAGTGAAGCAACGTCCTCCACAACTAAACTGAAGAACAAAAAGACAGCAACTTGTCTGTTCCCCTTCCCCCAATTCCCAGCGCTGTTCCCATCCCCCAATTCCCCAATTGAAAAAAAAAAAAAAACCAAACCCTCCTTCAAAAAAAAAAATTTGAAAGTGTAAATGTCCAATAGTAGAAGGTTAATCATATTTTGGTGTATACATACAGTAGAACAGGGTTTTCAACCTCAGCACATTGACACTTGTTCTGGATGATTCTGTTGTCAGGAGCTGGCCTATGCGCATGTGATGTGGGGCAGCATGACTGGCCGCCACCCACTGGGTGCCAGGAGCACTTTCCCCAGTTGTGACAACCAAAAATGTCTTCAGACATTTGCAGGTATTCCTTGAGGGTCAAAATCACCCCTGATTGAGAACAAACCCACTGCAAAGGAATACTAATGAGCATTAAAACTTTTTTTGAAGCTCGCCATTCCTGCAATGGCTGCTTCCTGGGAGATGCTGTCACGTGGAACTTCTTAGCCTCATCATTCAGAGCTTCAGAAAGGGAGTGTTTTAAGTCAGAATAGAATTATATACCTATCGTTTCTTTGAAACTTTCAGCACTCAAGATCCAGCCATCTCAAGGTCCCCACATCATGACCTCAGTTTCAACACAACTGTTCTTAGTCCTCATTCCACTACTTTTGGTGCTGCCTGCTGTTGAAGCAGTAGAAGCCGGAAATGCAGTTGCTCTCTTACTAGGTGTGGTTCTCAGCATTACTGGCACTTGTGCTTGTTTGGAGGTATATGCACGAAAGAGAAATGGACGGATGTGACTTCGAAGGGCCTCTTGAATCAGTTGTGCTGTCTAGGTTAAAAACTGAGCTTTGGTGTCTGAAAGTTCCAAAGAAACAGTAAATAGGGTAATTTTACATACTTAGTTGTTTTCCTATAAATGGGAATAAATTGATATATGTTAAATGGAATAAAAATGCTTTTTTCACAACAAATGCACTGAAAAGTGCAGTCTATAATTTGTATTTGTTAGTTAGAGGGTCAAAGAAGGATGGCTGAAGTTTGCATAAATGATATTTCATGGTCTCGGAATTCTCAAAGTAAATGAAATGGGAAGAAGGAAACTCTTGCCCAGAATCCTAGGAAGTCGCCACTGTTGAGTTGTAATCACTGCCTCCTGCATTGGTAAGGAGTCTTTGCTCCACATTTTTATTAGATTTTTGTTTTGTTATCTCCCAAGTTAATATTGTACTTAGATATCAAATACAGTCAGTCAAAACTTAAAACTTTTATTTTTTGGGGTGGAAAAAGGTTAGATAAATGTATTCAGTGTATCTAACATTGAAATGGAGAAAATATTTTATGTAAAAATAATACTTTATATTGATATTGAAATGGAAAAGAGATTTAATGTTAAAAAAAAAGCCTTTATATTAACTAACACCCCCATGGTGAGAAATACTATACTAAATATTAACCCAGGTGTTTTATATATATATTTTTTTTTAATTATTATTTTTTTTAAGTACCTGTTGAAGCAGGAAAATGATCCCAATATAGGTGAATGTAGAATATGAAAGTCTGCCTGAGGATGTGGGTGTGTGTATCAGAGTCTGGAAGGAAATCAAACCAATTGTTTGTGTGAATTACCTCTTGAATACCATCTCCCCCCACAGAGTTTTCTGAAGGTCTTTCTTGAGAGAAATGTGGTGGGGGCAGAGGCCTAGCTTCTGCCCATTGTCCCTTTACCTTGGCAGTGACTACAGGCATGGTTGGCTTCTATGGCCTTTTTCCTAGGGGCGTGTTCTGTTTTGCTCTTTGTCCTGATGCTGCTAATGGCTCTAGCCTTGGGGCCAGCCAGTGCCCTGTTGCTTCCTTCTCTGTCCACATGCCCCTGAGTCCTTTGAGCTTGGCCCCTTCCCCTCCCAGACACTTAGACACACCCAGCCATGGGCAGGGGCTCAGCCAACCTCCAGTGGGAGGGCTGGGGCACAGCCTCAAGCCTTGCGTGACCCCCAAGGCTTGTGTGAACACCCAGACAGGTGGCAGTGCTGAGAGCAGACCGTGTCCCAAGCACATGTGCACTAAGCACACGTGCACTGCAGACAGGAGACAGACTTTTCACCAGCACGGGCTTTGTTCCAGCCACCTCTTCACACACATAGGAGCCTGGCTCCTCCTTCTTGGAGACAGTTGGTTGTCCATCCTTCTGTTCGGTTTTTACCTCCTATGTAAGTAGGAGCCATAGGAAATTGCCACATTTGACTGTGTTTGCCGTATACAATAACCATTTCATTTGGTTTGACCTAACACTGTGTAAACATACACATGCACTGGAAAATACATTTTAAAATAGGATTATTGTGTCGTTCTCCAGAAAGTTCTGTTCAGTGTATTTGGACATCTCTGTACGATGCACATACAAGCTTTTCTTTCTTTCTCATGGTTATGTATGTTCCATTTTATGGACATAGTCTTTTTTTTTTTTTTTTTTTTTTTTTAGCTGAGCCATCCTGCTACCTATTGGCAGCTTAGCGGCTACTCAGCTCGGGCTGGCCTTGAACCACTGTTGCTCAGAGCTCAAACTCTTGAGCGAGCTCTTAACCAACTGAGCCATTCGGCCGGCCCTGGACATAGTCTTTTTAACTCAATCCCCATTGGCTTTTTTTTTTAAAGATTTTATTGGGGAATTGGGGGAGGGAAACAGTGTTGGGGAGTTGGGGAAGGGGAATAGACAAGTTGCTGTCCATTTGTTCTTTATTCTAGTTGTGGAGGACATCGCTTCACTGGCCCGTGTTGGTATTATCATTGCGCTCTTCCCGGCTGAGGCAGATCAGTTGCTGGCCACTGGACGGCCGCTCACGGTAGCTCACAGCAGCCACTGCAGCCTATGCCGTCGCTGGCGACTCACAGCAACCCAGCTCCAGGTCGAGCTGTTGTTCACCATCTTAGCTGTAGAGGGCAAAGTGTCACTGGCCTAATGTGGGATCCGAAGCGGCGGCCCTGCTGCTCAGAGCTCTTGCTCCCAAGCCAACTTTTAACCAATGCGCCACATGGCTGGCCCACTCCTCATTAACTTTTGTTTGGTCCGTTGTTTATGATGAGTTATTTCGTTGGAATAGGTGCCATAGGGAAGCTTTAATGTTTTATGTAATTTCACATATACGCTCTTCCTCTTTTGTTATAAACATTTTATAGGCGCCCTTTCCACATGAATGATTTATCTTACCTGCCCATTGGTGGCCTATGGAGAGAGCTGGCCTGCCCCCCCATACCTTCTCTCCTTATGTGCTAAGCCAGCATCACTGCCGTTCACTTCCTTCTCGGCATGGTGTGTGGAAGAGATGAGAGCATGAAGCTCAGACCTGCTGCTCACTGATGGGTGGGCTGGTGCTTTTGTTGCTGGAAGGAAGGAGGAGTGGTGACAGTGGCCCAATTAGTGATCATAGTGATAATAAAACAGATTTCCTGAAAACTTGAGATATACTTTATTAGCTAAAGTTATTCCTGTAGGAAATTCACTAATATAATAAGTATTTACTTTAAAAGTACTCATAAGCCAGACTGCCCTCCGTGCTTGATCAGTGGGGTCTTAGGATCTTGAGCTCGGGTTGGAGCATGGACCCTGAGGTTGGAGGACGGGCCCTGGGGCGCTCGTTAGCACCTTGGCAAGTCTACTGAGGAGAGCTGCAGAGTCCCCTCAGTGTGCTGCTGCCAGTGCCATGCCAAGGACAAAGTGTCCACCTAGGGTGAGCTGGTTGGGCTGGCGAGGGGGCCCGCTGTGGGGCTGGAGCACCTGGGAGCCAGGGCCCAGAACAGTGTCCTTGATTGCTTCCTGAGGGTCCCAGAGGGGGTGTCCCTGCAGGGACCAGTGCCTACCCTGTGTGTCTGTGTGTCCTCTTGCAGGCTGCTGCCGTGGACACCTGTGAGCCAGAAGCCAGTCAAGCTGCCAGCTGTCTGTGCCATGGATCCCCAGGTCAGATGCTTCTGGAGGAGGGCTGCGGGAAGTGAGGGCAGCTGAGGCCAGCTGGTTCTTCTGCATGCAGTCAGTTTGGGACCTGGTCCACCCCTGTGATAGTGCTGCAGGAGGGGCCTCACATTCCCAACTGACTGGGACACAGTAAACACTGACGAGAAAGCCCCTCTTATCTCCGTGTCCTCACGGTCTCTCTTCCTCTCTTCCCTCCTCTGCTCTCCAGCTCTCCTCCTACCCTTCCTACCTGGCTGCAAGGAAGCTTTCTGATTTGAGACCATTTAAAAGCTGTAGAGTTTTGGGGAGAGTACACATAGGCCACCCCTCTGCCACAGGTTGGTACCTGAACTGTGCCTTGTCTGTACTTACCTTTGAAAAAGCTTGAAAGAGAAAATCACAGCATATCCAATCAAAAGCTCTTGACTCATCTGCTTACCAAAAGTCTTCCTCTTTCCCTCCTCTGCCAAGCTCTGTAATGTCTTTGAGACCCCCAGCTAGGGCGCTAGGGCTCTTCCGTGTTGTTCCCTGTCCACACTGAGAGCATCAGCCTTCTGCTGTCCCCAGCAGCCCCCGTTGGAGGGGTCTGCAAAAGGGAAGGGCTTGGCGATTAGTGAAGTCAGTCGCCCAGTTTCTGAGTCCTGAGCCTATAACAGCACCTAATGCCCAGAAGGTTGTCAGTATGTACTGCTGAATATCCTTCTAAGGGATGGGAACCACTTGGTAGCGGGAGGGCCAGAGAAGGCACAGGCTTAGCCAAGACATGAGTTGCTGGAACAGAAGAGATTTCGGGTGCTCCCTGTGTTGCAAAAGGCCTGTTCAAAGATCAGACACTCTTTTGTTCGGTGTCCTTTAAACTAGCCCATTGTTGTCCCTTCCATCTTAGGACTCTCTTAGGTATTCTTGGGCTGCCTGTCTGGAGTTAGAAACCCCCCCATATCAGGACCGTTAACTCTCTCCTGCATTGGCCTGTTTCTCCTGACATCCCTGCAGTGTAGGAAGGTGCATGTAATTACTCCCAATTATTCCCACTGTTCTTTTTGTTTTCTTTCAAGGTGCAAAACTTGGGACACAAGTTGTCCATCGTCCCACAGGCTCAGGATTTGCAGTGAAACCCTGAGCAACTTCTGCTGACATGCTGGGGTTTGGCTTCCCCCAACTGTCAGAATTTTATTCCAGTTGTAGATTTTTCTTTTTTCCTTGATTTTTTCCTCAGTTTTAAACAATTGTGGTAAAATATACATAGCAGGAAATTTACCATTTTAACCATTTTTAAGTGTATAGTTCAGTAAATGAAGCACATTTACACTGCTGTGCCACCAGCACCACCACCCATCTCCAGAACTTTCTCATCTTCCTGAACGGAACCTCTGTCCCCATAAACACTGACTCCCCATTCCCCCTCCCTACTCCACCCCTGGCACCCCACTCTACTTTCTCTCTATGAATTTGATTCTTCTGGGGACCTCAAAGAAATGGAGTCACACAGTATCTGCCCTTTGGGGTCTGGTTTATTTCATTTCCATAATGTCTTGAGTTTGGGTTTGTTTGGTTTTTTTACTATTTGTATGGTACTGTTCATCCACATTGTAGCATTCTTCTTTGACTTTTTTGATATTTAGAAAAACAAAATAAGTGAGATTGATTTTGTTGGTCTTTTTCTTACTGCTTATTTGGTGTTTTTTCACCAGGATGATTCCAATTTATCGAACACATTAGACAGCTTTCCATCTTTTTCTCTGTACTGGCACTGATTTTATCGCATGAGAAGTATTTTTGTCTCTAGATCACTTTTGTAATATTTCCAGCAAGACTTCCTAAATCTTGATCATTTCTCTTAACGCGCTTTTCCCCTGTGACCTAAAAGGATAAACAACTTATCAAGTTTTTCATCTTCTGAGACACCCATGTTAACTTATGTCACTAGAAAGATCAGAAAGGTCCTAGTTCCACACTCGGTGTGTTACAGCCGCTTCTTGTGCTTGGATTTAGACTGTCAGTCTTCTGAGCCTACTACCCATGTCCTGGCAGAGTCCAGCCTCTTCATCAAAATGGACTCTGCCCATACTGATTTCCAGCTGACTGGTACTGAACATTTGACTCCCTGGGTTATCCACTCCTGGCGTTTGGACCTGTTCTTCTCTGACAGAGAACGTCCTCTTTTTTCCCTCCTTGCCAGCTCTGTTCTTTTAATTATATGTGGAAAGGGCAGATATCACCAGACTTGTATCTGATAACCTGATCTGGCATGGTTGGTGACAGCAGCCGCTCTGCATGACAACGTGGAACACCTGTTCACCACCCTCTATAGCAGAAGGCACCCCTCAGGAAGAGACTGCCTGTGGTTGTTTTCTAGGCTGTTGCAGCAGAATACCATAATCTGAGTGTTTCTCCTCAGTGTTCTGGAGGCCAGAAGCCTGAAAGTGAGGTGTCAGCAACCTCGGTTCCTTGTAGGGGTTCTGAGGGAGAATCCCGTGCCTCTGTCCCAGCTTCTGGTGGCTGCCGACAGTGCTTGGTGTCCCTTGGCTGGTAGACACATCACTCCCGTTTCAGCGCTTCTTGATGTGGCATTGCCCTCTGGGTCAGGGCCTGCCCTAACCCGGCATGACCTAATCCTAACTTCATTACATCTGCAGCGATCCTGTTTCCAAACAAGGTCACATTCAGAGATACTTGGGGTTAGCCCTTGAACATGTCTTTTTGGGGAATACAGTTCACCCCACAACACTGCCCTGCCCTCCTTTTCCTCTGCTAACCAGGACCTCTCCACGAGGTGGAAGTGAAGCATGTCCCTGAGTTTCTAAGCTGTCTCATGCCACTTGGCCTCACTGTCATGATTTGACAATGCAGCTCTTATATAAGATTTTTCCTTTTTCTAGGAGTAATTTTAGAGAAGTAAAGGCTGAATAACAATATTTAAGCACCTTATTTTATGCATTTTACTTATTTAAAGCAATTTGCCCCTAAAAACAGTCCTCTAAAAGTTTTCTTATTTTTCTAACGAAGAATATTAAGGACTTAGAAGACAGAAATAAATCTTGCCTGCACCTTCATCTTCTCCTGACCTCGTACCACCCAGTTTGTCTGCTTTGCGTTTATCTGGGCAGATGTCAGTATCCCTGGCTTTCCAGATTATTCCCTCTTTCATCCAGGGTCTTTGATTGTTTGAGCACACCTGGCTGCTGATGCTACAAGTACTTATCTTGGTTTGCCAAGAACACTGGCACAAGTGCAGTCAGCACACCAGAAATGTTGTCCCTGTGCCCACAGATGAAGGCTGGTTTGAGCTGCCACTGATCCCCGCTTCCCTCACGTCTCCCCAACCCCCCCGCTTCTCTCTAGGTCAGCAATGGTTCAGGACTCCAGGATGAGCACATCACAGACCTGCTTGTGTTTGGCTTTCTCCAAAACTGCTCCATCTGTAATTTCCACAAAGAGCTGAAGGTGCTGGGCCATGACCTGCCTGTGCCAACATACCTGCGGGAAGGCCCCGACGACGAACTGCAGACAGATGGCAATCTTTATAGCCACTTTGTCCTGGAAGGCAGGAGGACAGGTACGCATCTGGCCCCGCCTGCTCTGCCTTGCTGACACCAGTGACGTTCTAGGTTCCCTAAGTGCTAGAGTCTCAGTCTCCACCTGTGTCATCCCAGTTCACCGTATACGTTTGTGTCACATGGTTGTGTGGCCTGGACTTGGTTACGCCAGCAGACCAGGCCTAGCTGAGTTTCCAGGTGGTTGAAACCCACTGAGTTACTTTAAAATGATTCTTTGTATCTGTATGCACTTTACACTTTTATTCTTACATATAGTATGCTTGTGATCATCCACATGACAACTAGGGCATTGAAGTATTCTGAACCTCATTTCCAGATGAGGAAACTGATGCCCAGAGAAAGGTAAATGACGAGCCCCACATCAAACAGCCTCTGGGCATGGCCAAGGGGGTACTCAGGCCAGGCCTTGTTCCTTGAACTGGGCCCAGTTGTCGTCCCACCAGCGGCGCTGGTCGGGTGCCTCAGTCTGCTGACTACCCTCCCTCACCCTCATCCCTGTGCTGTCCTCCAGCCTTGGCTTTCACTCCCCTTAGCCACGTGCTGCCTCCACTGATGGAGGCTGTCAGACCTGACATCTGAGGGAGCAAGGCTGGGGCATGCTGAGGTTCAGCCACTCCCAGATTAGGGGCTGGACAGTGACTCTCAGTCATGTGCACACTGGGGTTCCATGAGCTTGTTCAGAGTGCACGGGCCTGGGCCCACTCCAGTTGCTGGACCACCATGTTCTAGGTAGGGGCTCTGATGTAAGCACGTCCTGCTGAGATCACTGCTCTAAGCCTAAGGTGACCCTGAGGACTGGACCCAGGCCTCCTTACCTTGGAGCAGGACTGAGATCCTGTCACCCTGAAACCTCCTGGCATAGGAGGTTGCCCTGCCCTCTGGTGGCCATGGGGAAGACCAACAGCTGATCCAGCCTTGGGATCACTGGCTCTGTGGATTGGGGTAGGGCAGGAGTTCCCCGCTAGCTAGCCCGGGGTTGCCAAAGACACACTGTGCCTTAGAATCCAGTGAGTGTGTCTTCTGGCCAGCCCTAAGCTGGAGAAGAGCAGGCCCCCTTGGGGATTGTTGGGAAGGATCGGGGGGCAGGAATGGCTTTGCTGTCAGCAGCTGCTGCAAGAGGCCCTATAGAGCCTGAGGCTGTCGCCGGGCTGTCCTTTGCTCATCTACACCGTCCCTTCCCTTAGACTGCAGAGCCGGTCTGGACTCAGTGGCATTTGCAGAAATGGTTGTGGGGCTGTACACTTAAACTCATCCTCTGGTAGAAAGCTGGTATGTAGATCGAATACCTGACAAGATTTGGAAGCAAAGGGCCAAATAGAGGCTCTGTCCGCCAGTCTCATCGGTGAATTCGTTTGCTCAGCTGGATGCAGATGAATCAGTTGCTGAAACAGGTGAAAAAGCATAGGAAATTAGTGAGCAGAGAGTTTCCTGTGGGAGTTAAGGAGAAGGTGGGTACTGTTCTCTCTGGGCAGCCAGGAGAAACTTCGTGGCTATGATGGAACTGAGCTGCCATGAAGGTGGGTACAGTTCGGTCTAGAGATTGGGAAGGGGACTGGCAGCAGCTTGGCCCAGCTGTGGAGATGCAAAGGCCAGGGCCTGTGGGAGGTCCTGAGTTTGGCTGGAACACTTGAAGGGATAGTGGACGTCCAGGGTGATTTGAGGCTAGGTGGTGACTTGCCACTTAAGCAGAGCTGAGCACACGGAGGTTTCTGAATAGGAAATCATGTCATATCAATACTACGTGTGTCGTGGTCAACGCCACAGGGCTTAGAGTGTGAGGAGGCACACACTTCAGGTCCTGCAGGCACACTCACCCCGTTTTGTGTCTCCTGACTGCACCTAAGTGCCCTATTTGCCAAAGTGGGTTCAGGAGAGGGGACTGGAGGCCATGAGTGGGGTGAGAAGACACTCAGTACCCAGATGCGAAATGAGGAGAGCCCACACCAGTGGTGGCAGTGGGAACAGGAAGGAGAGACGGCTGTGTCTGCACTGACGTAGACCTGCCAATTGATGGAGGAGGGGGGCAGTGGTGACAGTAAAGATAGGGTGAGGATGAGATTTCTGTCCTGGGGAAGTAAGAAGCCAGAGGGAAGTTGCGAGCACAGAAAAAATATGAGTTTTAATGGGAGAAATAACAACAGTTGGCATTTATTGAATACTTACTAGTAGCTAGGTTCAGAGTTCATTCATTTACTCACTTATTAATTCATGCAATCATTTATTGAGCACCTACTGTGTGCCTTGCATTGTTTTTGGCACTGCGTATTTGGCAGTAAACAAAACATTTAAAAATCAGAGCCCTTACGAAGTTTATGCTCTGGTGAGGGAGTAGACAACACAGACAGGTAAAATACATGATATAGTAGTGAGTACTGAGGAAGGAACGGCGGGGGGGCGCATGTGGCAGTGAGAGTCAGTCTTAGCGTGGCATTGGAGAAGACCCAAAGTAAGTTAGAGAAGGAGCCTACACTCGGGAGGCCAGTGGAGCTGGAAGAGGGATTAAGGGAAAGTGGAAAGAGCTGCCATCAGAGAGGCTGGGCAGATTGTACAGAGCTGTCTAGGTCAGAGTGGAGAAGGGGTTTTGCTGAGGGAGATGGGACTAGGGAAAGCATTGATCCCCACAGCTGCCCTTCGGCGAGATCTTGTAGCCGGGCAGTGGCAGAGGGGGGGCTCTGACTTGGCCTGACTGTGGAGCCTCTGTCTTTTTAAAGATTTTTTATTGGGGAATTGGGGGAAGGGGAACATAGAAGTTGCTGTCGTTTTGTTCTTCAGTCTAGTTGTGGAGGACGTTGCTTCACTGGCCCAAGTTGGCACCATCATTGTGCTCTTCCCGGGCGAGGCAGATCAGTCGCCGGCTTCTGGACGGCCGCTCACGCTGGCTGCTGGCCGCTCACGCTGGCTGCTGGCTACACACGGTAGCCCATGGCAACCCACTGCAGCAGGGGCTGCAGCCTACACCGTCACCGGCAACACACGGCAGCCCAGCTCCAGGTTGAGCTGTTGTTCGGCATCTTAGCTGTGGAGGGCAGTGTCACTGGCCCTCATATGTGGGATCCGAACCGGGGCCCTCTGGCGTCCCAAGCCAGCTCTTAACCAACGCACCACTCGGCCGGCCCTGGAGCCTCTGTCTTAACAACTGCGTATGCTGACTATCTGTTAGAGGATGGGATACAGAGTGGCAGCTGTAAGGCTGCCGTAGTCATGGGAGCCCCAGCATGCTGACCCTTCGTGGGTAGAAGTTGATCTGTATTCAGGGAGAAGCCTGCTTCTCCAGCTATTGTTCGCTCACTCGGGCCCTTCCCTGTCCCCTGCACTGTACCCCTGGTCCCCTGAGCGTCAGGTCTGCGGTCTTCACACTGTAGCCGTGGCAGAGGGAGCACATGTTCACTGGGCTAGTGGTGTGCTGCGGGCAGGAGCTGGCCTTGCTCCAAAGAGAATCACTTCCTTTTCCAGGGTGGGGTGGGGTGGACAGCCCATTGTCTGATCTGCTTTGTCTGCTGCCCCTGCCTCAATATCAGATTCTGAGAGCCAAGAGGAAATCATCCAGAACATCGCCAGGCAGCTCGCCCAGATAGGGGACACGATGGAGTGCAGAATCCCCCCAACACTGGTGAACCGCCTGGCAGAGCAGTTCATGAATGGGGACCTGTCAGAGGAAGTAAGTGAGCAAACCCCTAGTGTCCTTTCTAGGTGAGCTGGAAAGGGTGGGTGCTTTCTCCATTGTCGTTTGAACCAACGAGGTCTGTCCTCTGTCTCCTCAGACAGACCAGTGTCCATTGAGGTGACTCAATTCGTGACTGTCCACAGAAGAACTGGAAATAGAAATTATAGCATAGTTAGCTGTCTCTCAGAAGAATTAAGTTACTTGGCATTTAGGAAACCTGAACCTTAATTCAGTTAAGAGTTTGGGGATAAAAGCCTCCAAAAAATGACTCTTCTAGAAATAACTAGTTTTAGGGAGCTGAATAAAAATAGCAATAGAGAACTTTTTTTTTTTTTAAGATTTTATTGGGGAATTAGGGGAGGGGAGCAGTGCTGGGGAATCGGGGAAGGGGAACAGACAAGTTGCTGTCCTTTTGTTCTTCAGCCTAGTTGTGGAGGATGTTGCTTCCTGGCCCATGTTGGTATTATCATTGCGCTCTTCCTGGGTGAGGCAGTCGCTCGCTGGCCATTGGATGGCCGCTCATGGCAGCTCACGAAAGCGCATGCCTGCTGCCGGCCAGCCCCACTGCAGCCTATGCCGTTGCCAGTGAATCGCGGCAGCCCAGCTCCAGGTCGAGCTGTTGTTCACCATCTTAGCTGTAGAGGGCGCAGCATCACTGGCCCTCATGTGGGATCCAAAATGGGGCCCTGCTGCTCAGAGTTGGTGTCCCAAGTCAACTCTTAACCAGTGTGCCACTTGGCCGGCCCAGCAGTAGAGAACTTGTAAGTCGCCTGGGTGTGACAAGAAAAGTGAGACTTTAGCCTACTGCTCTTGACTTCATGGTAATAAACCACACACAGATGTGTACAGCGCTGCTCCCATTTGCGGAGCGCTGCGGGGGATACAAAGATAGGTCTCAGGCACTGTATCTTTCCTGAGGAAACTTAGTGGGAGAGAAAAATACCCCAAGGTCCTCAAATGTATGCCTACCCAAGTACAAGAAAACGTTCCATTCTTTTGACCACCAGCTAAAAATGTACTACCTAGAAATGTATTCATCCTCCAGGGTTCAGCCAGGTCAAGTCTCCTGCCCCTAGGAAGGTTGTCCCCTGTCTGTGGTCTCTCCCCATCTGCTGTTCTCCAGAAGCCCTCTTAGAATATATAAGCTCGTAGTAGTGCTCTGCCTTGGGCCCTCTCCACAATGTTCACTTATTTTGCATGAAAATCATGAGCCTAAGGTCCTTTCAAGCCTATGGCTGGAGGTGGGAATGTTGTCTCCCCGCACTAGCTAGGTCTGCACCAGTAACTAGTCCTGAGACACTTGGGGTACTTAGCTAATTCTCAGGTGAAGTGCCTCAGAGGCAGGAAGTGACTTGACTTCTTCATTTCCATCAGTGTGGAATGTGCACACACGAGGTTCAGGGACCATGTGTTTGGTTAATGCGTCTCCCACTCGAGGGAGGGATGGATCTCAGTCCTCCCTTTCATCGCCTCTCAAAACAAAATTACTTCTCGTTTTCTCCCCCAAATGCCTTAACTATTTAATGAATACTTCCCTCTGAAATGAGAGTGTGCTTCATGCATTCTGTGGGAGGGCTGTTCTTCTTTTGACAGGGAAGGACGTTAGAGGACAGGGCCCCCTGTGAGCCTATTTCCCCCTCTACCTGCACAGGACAGAAGGAGGTGCCTGGCCACTGCACTGGACCAGCTCATGCAGACGTTCCCTAAAGACATGGAGAAGGAGAAGGCCATGCTGATGTTGACCCTGCTCTTGGCCAAAAAGGTGGCCGATCACATGCCGTCCTTGCTCCAGGATGTCTTTCGCACGACAGTGAATTTTATTAACCAGAACCTGCTCACCTACGTGAGGAACTTGTTCAGAAACGTAAGAACCAGCCATCAGCTCCTTGCCAGTTACCTAAGTCCTCTGCGTCTCTGCCCGCTCCCCACCCTGATCACCTCCGAAGTCTGGGGAGCCAGCAGAGCCTCTGCCACGGGCCCCTTTCATGCCTTCCCTCTGCTTCTGTCGCCCAAACCAGGAAGGCGCCTGCAGATCTTCCTGCGCTGGTGGAAAGGCTTGCTTTTGCTTTCATGAGCAAGTTATGTGGTAGGAGGTGGTGGTGAACACCTGATGTTCTTTGGAGCTTTATCAGCTTTATTTTTAAGACGTGCGGGGAAAGGCTGTCTTCATACTTTCGGCAGAATCATGATAGCGTGGTCTAGACCCGTAGGGAGAGCATGAAAGAAAGTGGCTGAGGGATTTAAGTGGAGAGGGAGCCTCTCCAGTCTGCTCTCAACTTCACCTTTACAAAAACGAGTCTAATTAAATTCTTTTTAAAAATGCTTACCAAGGATGATGGGGAGACCAAACAGGGAGATCAGAAAAGGGGGGAGGGAACTAGCTAAAACCTGCCCCAGAAAATGTCTGTCCCAATAAACAGGATATGAGAAGTCAGTTCTTCACGATGCTGCCAAGGCCAGGCAGCTTCAGTTTCATAGACCTGAGGGTTCAGGAGATGTATCTTCTGTACATTTGAAAATATTATTGAATATTTGGGATTTTATGTGTCACAAGCATTACCCGGGCATTTGGCCCTCTTACTATTTACTGATAAGCCTTGAAAGCATTCTCCACCTGCCATGGTCCTCAGTTAGACAGATGTACAACAGGAGAACGAACATACCGTATTTGCCGGCGTATAAGACGACTGGGCGTATAAGACGACCCCCTAACATTTCCACTCAAAATACAGAGTTTGTTATATACTCGCCGTATAAG